CAGCCAAGGCTTGCGAACAGCTCTTGCAGAACGATGGATATTTGGGCCCACCTGCGGTGGAGGAAGAGCACTTCCTCTGGTGTGCCTGGACCGGAGGCGCGCGGCCGGTGACGGCACTGGAGAAGTTCGCTGTGCGGCCAGAGCCTCATCATCCGTTCATCTCATTGCAAGCGTTCTTTGCAGCATGCTTTCGAAACCTTTGGCCTACTTTGATTCTGTTCATGCAGCTTTTGATCTCAGGGACAGTTGGGCTCGCGGCCGCCAGACTTGGCTGGCAGTGAAGCCAGAGGAAGGCAAGCGGCTGCATGTCTCGTCCAGAAGAACGCATATTGGTTCAGCTTGTCAGTACCACCACCACCACCACCACAACCTGACTTCTGTGACTGCCAGGATGCGCTGCTGCTCCAGACTTTCCAGGACTGGCGGGGACCGCGCGCGCAGATGGGATTTTTTGACCAAAAGCCATTGGACTCTTTGAGTGTGCCCCACATTGGGGAACGTGCGTGGTACAGTTGCATCCCTTAGTGAGCAGCCTGATAGCGGCGGGCCGCATTGGAAATCTTGCACATTGACAGTCAGAACGCCTTTTCCGCGCACTGCCATGCTTTGCATTGAACATTACTGGCGCCTGGACTTCAGGAGCCTCAGAGAGGCGACGCAACGCTTTTGCACCGAGGAAGCGGAAGTTTGCTGATGCAGAGGCTTCATGCGAGCAATGTTTTCTTTTTAGTTCCATATTACGTCGCGAGAAACCCAAACCACGGAGATGCTATAAAAAGTGTCTCAAGGGACTCAGGGAACCCCAATATGTGTTGGACTGTTCCAAATTCGCATATAATTATTGTAGACAAGCTGGATCAATTCTTGATCAGACCTGTGCGCGAGGTATCAGAGAGCCCTTTACGTTGCTCCATTTGCTCTCGTGGTCCTGGTGAGACATCTTGGCTTCGATGGGTGTACAACAAACAAAGCAAGTTGAGACGCCCGGTGGGCGGGCGCTGCATGGACTGCAACAAGATGGTCCAATCAGCGCTGGAGCGGAAGGTCTTCGGCCCTGACGTGTGCACGGCCAACGCTGTGTGGAAACACAAAGGCCTGAGAAGCAGAGCGACCAGCTACCGAGACGAGTGGTGCCGGATGTCGCCGGCGGAGCGCTTGCGTGCGCACATGGGCGCAGTGGGACAGCAGGCTGTGCAGCTTGTTGAGACTGACGAGGCCGTCCTCACGACGACGCCGTATGACCTGCTGCCGCTCGAAGAGCCGTTGCAAGACAAGGTCAGGATTGACAAACCTTCCTTCTTCCAAAGAGACACACACACACATAGACACACACAGTTGATGGAACTTACTTTGGTTTACCAGCTGCTCGTCTCCGCGCGCGAGACTCTCGCACGGTCTTGCCGCTCGCTCACATTTGCAGGATGCAATGTGCGAGATTGTGACCTACCAGGGGAGGAACTACATCCGCAAGCCTGCGAGCTCGTTGTTCCCACCGCCCCTCGACATGATTGGCGAGTGCGCTGGGAACGCACGGACTCCATTTTTCTGCAACTCATTCAAATGGTAATGTTAAGTTAAGATTGCACACTGCTGCGACCATTCTCCGACTGGGCCCTAGGCCAGGCGCTTACCGCATCCAGGGCCGTAAGGCTCTGAGTGCGTGCAGCACCCTGACCTCTGACAAGGAGTCCGCCAAGTCCCTGTGGATGGACTTCCACAGGGATAATGAGAGGACGGCAGCGAGTACGACATTTTTGCAAGAAGACATTTTCAGCGTGTCCAAGTTTGAGCGGTGACGCAGGATTGGATCGGAGTCGCTGGCCCTGTCTGAGCCGGCAGCTTTTCGTGGCTGAGCTCAAGGCAGGCGGTGTGTCTTTTGCTGATGGAACGCAACATGGCAAGAAACCATTTTTAATTGGTCTTTACTAGAGTAGCCTACAGCGAGTCCTTTCTTTGCATGTTACTAAAGTCCTCTAAACGAGATGGGACCCGCGCATGTGGACAGTGTATTGCACTTTAGCGCGAAATACATGTTCGTGAGCCTACACACCTGCAAAGCGGTGCGGAGCTCGCTTAGACAAGCGCAGCGCACGCTCGTACTTATGGTGCACGCCTTCTCCATCCTGTGTGGACTCTACCTTCTGTTTCGCGTGCTCTGCGTGCCTGCGCAGCCGAGTGTTGTGGACCGGAAACAGCTGGTCGCGGAGCTCCCTGCGGCTCAGCGCCCACGGGCTTTGCTTTGCCAAGTGGGCACGCCTCCAACAAAGGTCGGACATAGACACAGGCTTGGGCAAACAGATGCTCCTGCGCGTTTCGCGTCGGGGCAGTTGGCCTGGGTACGACAGGTCATCCTTGCACAACCTCGGCACTGTTGTCCTACAGTGGTATCTCTGTCTGCTTGGTACGCCCTTGAGTCTTGTAGCTATGTCTACTGCTACTGCTCTATGTGCTTGCGCGGCGCGCTGTGGACACCTTTGTCAATGGACCTGAAGCGGCTGGTCGTGGAGAGCGCGCTCTGCGGCTCAGCACCTACGGGTTTCGCTTTTCCAAATGAGCACAACTCCAATAAAGGTCCGACATCGACACTTCATTGGACAAACAGATGCCTTCCACGCGTTTCTCGGGGCAGTTGGTCCCGAAGACCGCCTGGGTCCGAGTAGGTCTTCGGTCCCGAGGAGCGTGAGGCGGCCACCCCAGTGATGGTGGAAAGAATCCAGGATGTCTCCCTTCCGCAGAGGTCATCCTTGGAGGAGCCTGCACTGTTGTCCCACAGCCATGTCTTGATTTTGTTGATGGTCTGGATTGGGCTGCGTCCATACACATGGCGCTGTCCCCAGTATGGACCGCTCTTGAGCTTTGCTCTGTCAAGCCCGGCGACGCGCCTCGTGATACACACACACGTGGAGTGCAGCGCCAGAAAATCATTACTCAGGTGAGATGTAGAGTCTAAGGGATGCATGCTACGCAGTGCACCATGCTGACGCGCATCCTCCGTAGGCGCTTGCTACCTACTACCCGCAGACAAACATGCGGTGCAGCCCTATGCTCAGTTGCGTGCCCTATGCACTGGAGTCATTGCAGCATGTGCACACAGAGTCCATTGATCAGTGCCTCTTTGCGTTACATCCAAGGTCAGACACTGTTCCTTCCTCCATGGTGTCGGCATGTGCGGCCAGTGCCATGAACACCCAGGCCACTCCATGAAAGCGCTGTGTATTGGAATCTACATTTTCAGCAGAGCACCAATTGTGAATCAAGTTACTGTATACGTTTCTCACTCACTTCACACTTCCACGTCGCACTGTGGGTATGTGTCGGTCTTTGCCGCAGTCCTTGGGCCCGCCCCAGGCTTTTGGTTTAGCGGGCGCAAGCCAGCGTTACCGTTGGTGCCGATGTATCTTTGAAGGCATCCAGGCCACTCCATGAAAGCGCTGTGTATTGGAATCTAGATTTTCTGCAGAGCACAACTTGTGAATTAAGTTATACGTTTCTCAGTCGCTTCACACTTCCACGTCGCACTGTGGGTATGTGTCTGTGTTTGCCGCAGTCCTTGGGCCTGCGGGCAGGCATGCCCAAGCGGTTGGTTTGGCGGGAGCAAGCCAACGTTACCGTTGGTGCCGTGGGTGCCGATGTATCTTTGAAGGAGTTGCACCAACGTGTCTCAGACAGGACTTTGCTCGATGATCCTCCATGGCTTGCAGCGGCCTTCAACCCTGGGCATGAGCGCTTCGTGCCGCAGAGGCAGATCGCTTCACACTGCATCACCTGCCAGCCCAAGTGTTCCATGCGTGTGCGTGCAACAGCCGTCGCAGACAACAACTATGTCCTCCACTACGCAGGGCAGCACAGCGCTGATCCTTGCAGCAAAAAAATACGAGGTTGGAGTATCCATGAGATCAAGGCCACCCGAGCACTGGGACAGAACAGCTCTGAGGCCCAAATGCACGTAGCTCTACACGACGCAGGTTGTGCCACAGAAGCAGGCCGTAAGCGCATCGCTGGGAAGTTCAAGCGGCTCAGGGCCCATGCGCGGCAGCGGGAGAGGACACAGAGCTGCGCACAGATCAGACGCTGGGCAGATGAACGTTTGCATCTTGTCGGCGGCCCTCATGAGGCTGTGATATTCGGCCACTGCATTGATGCTGCGGGAGAAGGCAAGAGATTCCGACTTGCTTTTGGATGCGCAGGACATCAGAAGGTCCTGGAGAATTTGCCGCGCAGTGCACCGATTTGTCTGGCTGCGGATGGCACGTTCAAAGTTGTGTGGGGCCGATACACGTGCTACATTGGTGGACTTCTGCACTTGGTCACTTCACCTGGCAAAGTACGCGCTGGCCCGGGAGGCCGTGGTCAGGTCTTCCTCCCACGGGTGTCGTTCGCTCCGCTCTTTTATTCCTTGCAAGAATCTGAAGGGTCTTCTGCGTGCATGCAGTCTGCTGACTTCTACTTGGAGTATCTCGCGCAAGCCAAGCCAGCCCTGGCAGCGAAGCTCCGTACGTGCTGCATGGTTGTCACCGATTTTGCAGAAGCTCCACGACGAGGCCAGGTTGCGGGCTTCACCGACATGCTAAGTTGCATCGCCTACCTTGGTCTTCCTCGGCTCCGGAATCGGCAGCCCCGGTGCGACTTTCCCAAAACAGCATATCGAGGGCCTCCCAGCTACCGCTGACATAGTGCTTAAGGAGACCAATTCTTCTCCATAACAGTTGAGGTCAGAGCCCGGGACCGTGAAGTGAGCGTGATGTACCAGTGAACACGCACCTCAAAAACCACATAAGCCCCCCAAATACCAGTAAAGGCCGTGAGGTAACCGTGATGTAACCATGAAAGCTGTGTGGATCACGCAAAAACTGTGATGGGAATGTGTTCTTTCCATCTTCATTGTGAGGCAATGACTAGTATATGTTATGAATATACCCCTCAGGTATTTGGTGGCCTAGGGCTGCACAAGACCGGACCCTGAAGAAAGGCTGTGGTTTCCACAGCCCTTTGGACGATCAAGGCTAGTGTCACACATTTTTCGCATGTTACCTGCTGACCCCAGGACTGCTACGCTTATGCGAGGGGCAGCCTGAAGTTCGTGAGTGCGGCGAGCACTGCCGCAGGAATGCAACCATGGCTGGCTACAGTGGCTGGAAGAAGCTTCGCTGCCACCACTCTGCCAAGATATTCAGGAGATACATCACCCTCATGCAGACAGCGTGGACGCCAGTGATCTTTGATTTCCTGTGTTTTCACTTGCTGGCCCGCGCAAGACATGAAGACGCTGAAGAAGAAACTTGATCGCACTCTGCCTAAGTTCTTGTTTGCCTTGTATCTGTCGACGGAAAGCTGATCATTGTCACTGTCTGATCGTTGACACCCATGTTTCAATTAAGTTTTGCTGTCGTCAATTCAAAACTCATTGCATGTCTCAGGAGTGGGCGGCCTACTTTGAGAAGGAGTATCTCCGTCGCACTGACTCTGGCATGTATTACGCCACCTGGCACCACAAGTTTCTTGCTACGCTGGCATTTGGCGCGGACACCAATTCGGTGGAGTCATACAACCGAGCTCTCAAGCGACGTTTAATGAAAGCAAAGGCAGAGCTGGACACTCGCAATGTGACTGCTTCAAGCTTGCCCGGCATCGAGACCTTCCTCCAACATATGAACCACGTTTTCCGCTCGGAGCTTTGCAATGCCAAGTATGAACAGGAGACGGCCACGGAATTCCACCCACGTGTGCCTGACAGCTTGCTGCATCCCAATGAAGCAGTTCAGCGCTACTCTGGCTACCCTTCCGTTGCGCACTACGCAAAACAGGGTCAAGCGGCGCAAGTTGTTTTGCATCAACAGGGCTTCAGATTTTATGTCATGCACCAGTGGTGTCGTGATGTTGTCAAGGGAAAAGAAGTCTCGGAGACGGATGCTCGTGTCCTCATTGATGCTCTGCAGCTGCCTCTGCACACCGACCGGCATGAACAGTTTTGGCGCCGCGCTGGAGTTCTCCGACCTGCCTTGCCAGACGAACAGACGCCACGTGAGAGTGTCATTGATGTTCAGCGCTACACACATTTCTTTGAGAAGTATGCTGTGGTGCAATGGAGCTTGGACCCTGCCATCCCGGCGTGTCACAACGCATCGTGCACGTGTTGGTGGTTCCGAACGAGGCGCTGTTGCTCACATCATGCTGCAGTGCGCATGTGGAACCAGGACGAGTCTTGCGACGCCAGGGCACCTGCGCCAGGCCGGTGTGTTGATAGATCCTTCATACCTTTTAACTTTTACCACGCCTTCACCTCACACCCACTGCAACACATTTTCAACCACACACTGAATACTCTAAGACGTGGTGCGTTGCTGTTGCGTCCACGCCAGGTCTGTGTGGCAAGAGGCAAAGACCAGATGAGTCGGAGATCATTGCGCAGAGTCCTCCCGATGCACGCAGCTCGCAGCTGGATGATCACTTTGAAGTTGATATGGAGGCGCAGCGCTTGCAGGCTTTGCGCACAGCATTGGAAGAGGTACGCAGCTATACCCAGAAGCTTTCGCAGCCGCACCTGCCCCCACAAACAACGAGTGGCTTGCTGGAGAAGCTGCGTGCAGCGTGTCGGAGGATCACGAAGGAGCAGCCAGCGGGGTTTCGCTGGCGCGATGTCCTTGCAAAGGAAGGGCTGGGTCAACTTTTGCAATCGCTCTCAGCCCACGACAATCCCAAGATTGCAAGCAGAGCTGTGGACACACGCAGTCTCCTAGACTCCTTTGTGCGCATTGATGAAGGCGGCGCACAGCTGCACCGCACGATCGGAGCTCAG